GCGACGTGGGCACCCCCAGGAGACAACAAACCAGCACCACTCTCAGCTTCAGTGACGACAGATGCAGGGTCCCGAGCTACAGGAGCGCGACGCTGACGACGACACGCAGCTGCTGGGAGGTGAGAGGCACACGCGTACGAAGGCGGCTACTCCAAGGAGACCGCACAACAGCAGACTCAGAACCCTCAGCGTCAGCACCCGTAGCAGCTCCAGAACCTCCAGCTCTAACCAGCGGTAGCTCCAGCAGCTCCAGAACCTCCAGCTCTAGCGCCACCAGAGGCAGGACCTCCAGGCTCAGCACCCCCAGGCTCAGCACCCCCAGGCTCAGCACCCCCAGGCTCAGCACCCCCAGACCCAGCACCCCCAGGCTCAGCACCCCCAGACTCAGCACCCCCAGGCGTAGCACCCCCAGACCCAGCACCCCCAGGCTTTGTAACCCCAGGCTCAGCACCCCCAGTCGCAGCACCCCTCGCAGGACCAGAGTCAACAGCTACCTCGACAGGCTCGACCGGGTCTACCTGGGAAACACCTGAGGGAGCAGGACCCTGGGGAGGAAGGGGGTCTACCGAAGGGGCACCTGGGGTGAGGAAGAGTGGCGGGGGGGGAACAGACGGTAAAAGGGTACCGACTCGTCAAAAGTGACGTCCTGAGAGGCAAAGACACGGCGCGAGGTGGGGTGGTAAAACTGCCAGCCAGGCGCGTCAGGGACAAAGCCAAGGAAGACGCAGGGAACGGCACGGGAGGAGAGCTTGTCCGCGGACGTATCGCGAACAAGGGCTCGACATCCCCAGACACGGAACACCGACGCATCGCCAACCTCCCCCGTCCAACGCAGTGTGGGCGAAGTCTCTGGAGCAGAGCCACGGGGCCAAAGGTTGAGCTGATGCGCAGCGTACCGCACTGCAAACGGCCACAGGAAATGGGGGGCAGCCGCATGGATCAAGGAGGTACGAGCGACCTCCATGACTAAACCAATGCGGCGCTCAGCAACCCCATTCTGCTGTGGGGAGTCCGGAAGAGTGAAAGTCTGGCGGATGCCGTGCTCCGCACAGAAGGCGGCCAGGAGGGCGGAGGTAAACTCACCACCCCTGTCAGAGTGCAGACGCAGGACGGGAAAGTCCGACTGGAACCGCTGGCGGAGCTGGAGACGAGCGGCGCGGATCCAAGGGATCAAAACATCAGGGACCTCACCCTTGGTGCGCAAGGGGAAGACCGTGGTGTAGCGCGTGTAGTCGTCGACGACCAGCAGGAAGTACCGCTCGTGGCCCTGTCCCCGGACGCGGGCCGGGCCCCACACGTCCAGGTGAAGAGTCTGCAGGGGAGCCTCTGTGGGAGGAAACGAGGAGGAGTGAGGGGTGGCGCGCTGCCGCCCCTCAACACAGGGAAGACAGGGAGGAGCAGGCGAGGGTGGGAGGGGAGGGAGAACTCTGGGAAGACCAGAGACAAGGTACCGGGAGTGCATGCCACGAAGGCGCTGCACGGAGGGGTGACCAAGGCGGTGGTGCCAGAGGACGGTCTGGTGCGACAGGGAGCGACACGAGCAGGGAGCCGACAGCTGACCTGACGCAGACGCAGACGCAGCTACCTGAGGGGACTCAGTGGTCAGTGTGTACAGGTCGGACCCCGGCTGCCGAGTGAAGGTAGCCAGGAAGCGACCCGTCCGAGCACACGTGCAATGTGTCACGCGCTCGTAGGCAGGGGTGAACTAGTGAACACCCCCGTCCTGGAGCGCACAGCCTGCCACCAACTTCGTAGAGAACGAGGGGAGGTAGAGACCCGACAGAGTGCCAGACGGGGCCGCAGGACAAGGGAGAACAGTGGAGGAGGTCGCAAGGACCGGGCCCCCAGAGGGGTCAGCAAATGAGACAGCAACAGGCCGAGCTAGCGGCTCAAGGACAGTGCAGTCACGAAAGAAACAGCGGGAAGCACCTGAGTCCAGTGTGAAAGTGTGCAGTGCCGCAGCAGACCCAGTACCAGCAGACACAGACGCACGAGCACCTAGCGCAGCAGCCTTACCAGTACCAATACCTGGGTCGGGCGGCACACTCAGGTAACAGTCACCCTCAGCACTAATAGTCAATGCATACATGGCAGCAAGGATAGCATCATAATCAAGAGCAAAGACATCAATCCCCTTCCTAAGCAGATCAGCCCAGCGAGGCAGCTCAGAGGCGTCAGGGAACTGCTCGCGCCAGGCGTCGTCGAGGCGAGAGAAGCAGCGCTGTTCAGTGTGGAACCTCCCACAAGTCTGGCCAGCGCGGTCACCTGTGCGAATGACGTACGTGCAGGTACCCCCACCCCCAGACCCCCCACGCTGAGAGTACCACTCACGGAGCTGCTGGGGCGAGGGAGTCTCGCCGGGACGCTGCTGCGGCTGCCTCTGGCCACCTCCGAACCCCCCACGCTGCACCGCTCCACCGCGCCCGCCACCCGCTCCACCGCCGCCACTACTGCCACCACCTCCCCCACCACCCCCACCACCGCCGCCGCCGCCACCACCCCCTGTGCCGCCACTGACCCCCCCACCACCCGCGCCACCCCCACTTCCGCCACCACCCCCGCCCCCCCCACCCCCTCCACCACCGCCGCCCCCGCCTCCACCTCCACCACCCCTGCCCCCCTTGCTCCTGCGGGTCGCCCTTGCGCCTCCCACTAGGGGTAGACGCGGCCCCGACTCCCTCAGCTCCGAGGTAGTCGACAGCAGCAGCAGATGCAAAAGAGGGGAGGAGGGGGGAGGGGGAGCACCCCTCAAAGAAGGGGGTGCGGGGGTCACCACCAGAGGCACCTACAGCTACAATACTCTTCTCAGCTGCTAGGAGTTCCTTCTCGAGGAGGTCGACAGTGAGGTCAGTGGGGGAGAGAGCGAGAAACTGGTCCCTGACAGTGCGAAGGGAGTCAGGGAGGCGGGTGACAAGGTGGTACAGTGTGAGGTACATCGGGGGGGGGGGGGGGGGGGGTTCTTGGCGAGGAAATCGGGGGGGAGCGCGGCACGGTAGCGGAGGTCACTGGTACGGAGGTGGGTGATGAGGTCAGCTACAGTGGCAAAGGCGGACAGGTCGGGAAAGAGGTAGGGCAGTGAGAGACGGCCTATAGCAGCAGTGGCAGGGGAGGAGTAACGAGCGACTACAGCGTCGTACAGCTCTTTAGCGGTCTTATGCTGGCCAAAGTGCTCGCGCTCATCTAACGGCAGGTGGCTGCGAACGGCTAGGCGAGCATGAGCGTCACGGGTCTGCCACTGTGAGCGCAAAGTGCTATCAGCATCAGCAGCAGGTGCGGGAGCGGCGCCGGACGTGTGGTCATAAAGGGAAATATCGTCCTTGGCGGTGATCTGAAGGTAGAGGTGAAGGTCATCGAGCCAAACATCGAACTTAATCGGACGGCCCTCAGCGTCAAAACTAAGAACGGTAGGACTGGCCATAGTGGCAGTAGCAGTAGTAGGAACAGGAGCAGCAGTAGCAGTAGTAGCAGTAGCAGTAACAGAAGCAGCAAATGCTGCAGGTGAGGCACAATAGGGCGGCGCGGCTCGGGCAGGACGGCGCGGCCCGGGCAGGACGGCGCGGCGCGGCTCAGTCAGGGAGGGTGGGCCGGCGCGCGGTCTGCGGTTGTGCGAGGCGGCGGCCTACGCGCGGGCGGCTTACGGCGGGCGGCGGGCTAGCGCGGGCGGCGGCCTAAGCGCATGAGGCGGCGGCGCGCGGCGGTCGACGAGCAGCTCGCGGGCTGCGTTAGAGGCCACGCGAGGCCAGGGCGGGCTGCGCGTGAGCGGGGTCGACGGCGCGGGCGGTTAGCGGGTCGCGCGCACGAGAAAAGAGCCGCGCGTGAGCGGCTAGCGGGTTATGCGCTCGAAAAACGGGCCGCGCGCGCGGGCGGCTAGCGGCTGCGCACAGGCAGCGTAAGAGGAAGGGGCGCGCGAGGGCGCACTAGGAACGAGGCGCACGAGGGCGCAAGGGACGGCGCACGAGGGCGCTTCGAGCGGAACGGTGGGCACTTAGGAACTAACGGTCCTAGGTTCCTAACATAGGCTCGTAATACCATGTCAGAATGAGAGAAGTTTTTGAACTATGAGAAGATGCGAGTACAAGTACGAAACCCTAGAATTGTGTACCCCCTAAAGGCTAACCCACTGTAGCCTACACAGCAATAACACAAGTATATTGTTTGACATGATTTGTATACTTCACTTGTAACAAGATGCACGCTGCTACTGCCACGAGCCAGACGCCATAGTAACAGACGCCGGCGTGAAAAGGTTCCTAACATATCGCGAACAAGAGGCGGTGACAGCTGGCATCAACAGTATCTTGGGCCTGGAATTCGCATAACTGTTATTAGAAGAAACACTCTGCTGGGGAAATTCAGTGGTAGATGAGCTTGCCGAAAAAATGGGGGACTCAGGAGAAGGCTGAGGGCAAAAGGTAGGGGTGAGCTCACACTCATCCGCATCGTCATCATAGAACGCGTCGCTCGTTGCCGGGCTAGGCGGAATGGCGATGCGAGGAGGACGAGAGGAGGGCGGGCAGTCAGACACATGCTGCCCTGGATTCTCAGAAACGATGAGGTCTGCTGAGGGAAGATCCGAGGTACTGGTAGCAAGTCCTGGAACAGCAAGGTCTGCAGCAGGAGAATGGGCAACATCAGAGACCGTTCGGCGGTGCCAGGCTCTGATCCTCCCCCTGCTGCTGCTGCGGCTGCCGCCGCTGGTGCTGGTGCTGCTGGGCAGGGTTCTCTCATTCAAAGAGGCGTTGCTGCGCTTAGCCAGGCTCCTCCCTGACTTTGGCTTACCCGCCGGTTTAGCAGTCGGTAACTCCGCCGAATCTTGAACCGAGGGACCCTTGGGGAGGGCAGCAGCAACTCCCGTGCTGCGCTGCTTTCCACGGGGAGACGGAGAAGCAGCTTTGGGGGTCCGCGGGGTGGACGGCTGAAGGGGGATTCCTTGAGGGGGAGAAGAGCGGGGCGATGGCGCTGCTGCCGCGGATGACGCCCGGGGGAAATAAGGAAAAGCCTTAGGGCTCTGTGACTGGGGGGCGGACGGCTGCAGGGGGATTCCTTCGGGGGGGCAAGAGCGGGGCGATGGCGACGCTGTGGGTGATGCGCGCCGGGATGGGGGCAGCTTGGGGGGCTGGAGAGGCAGGGAGCAGAGCGAATGAGCAGAGGCGGACTGGCGGAACGGCGGTCTAGGCGACGGCGCTCTGGGAGACAACCGGGAGACGGCCGACGACGGGGTGTGAGATTGAGGCTCCTTGCTTTTGACGCCCATCGCCACTTCCCGCTTCAACCTCATCGGCCTGATGCTGCTACTGTCGCTGCTGCCGCTGTTGCTGCTGCGGTCGGTACCTCTTCGGGACGAGTCGCGGCGGGTCTCGTCCGACGGAGACCCCGATGTTGGAGATCGCTGCGACCGTGGCCGACGCGGCGAGGTCGCCCAGCACGCAATTGCGGCGGATGCGGCGCCGCAACTTGCTTCTTCCGCGCTGGGCTGGTGGGCTTCCGCCGCGCGAAGGACGGGCTCAGAGAGGTCCGCGCGACCAGCCTCCGCGCGACCAGCTTCCGCTCGACAATCTTCCGCGCGACCACCTTCCGCGTCGCTCTCACCCCATTCGTCGAAGCTGGCGTGCCTCGGAACCCCCGCGCCGCTCGCCTTGAAATCACCCGCGACGCGTGTCGACTCTGACTCCACGTCCGCCGCGGACACGGATTGTGAAGAGCAGCCGTTTCGGCGTGCTTTGGATGACTCATTGACTGCGACTCGGGGCGAATGCGGATGGGCCGCCGCCGCCGCGGCTTCGGGTAGAAAATCGAGCGTTGGAGCTTCCGTGGGCGGAAAAAATGGCGCCTTGGGAGCGCTGGGTTGGTGCGATGATTTTAAATCGCGCGGCGCTCTTCTTGACTCGTTACGAGCTGATGCGATCCGGAGCCACGGGTGCGCCAACACGCCGTCGATATCCAGCCGTTGGCTCGGGTCCAAGGTCAGCATCCGACGGATAAGATCCTTCGCCTCAATCGACACGGACGGCCACGGCGCGACGGAAAAATCGACCTCGGGCAGAAACTTGCGCACGTTTCCGGGAAAAGAGGGCCATTTGGAGGAAATAGTTGCGTATAGAAGCACGCCGAGCGACCAGACGTCCGCGCCGAAGCTGTAGAGATCCCCCGCCAGAACTTCCGGCGCCTCGTACGGCGCGCTGCCGACGGCGCCGCGCAGAGAGAAGCCTTTTGGAATCTCCATCGCGAGGCCGAAATCCGCGAGGCGCGCCTCGAGCCGAACGCTTGTGTCGGTCGAGTCTTGAACAGGCGACGCGGCGTTGCCGGCGGCGGCGGCGGCGGTGGTGGCGCGAGTTGTGATGAGAACGTTCTCGGGTTTGATGTCGCGATGCGCGATTCTGTGCACGTGGCACCATCTCACGGCATCGGCGACCTGCGCGAAAATCATCGCAGCCGCTCGTTCGGGAATGCCGCCGGTCTGCACGATGAGGCTGAAAATATCGCCGCCGTCGCACAATTCCGTGAGAATGTAGACGAATTTCTCGTCTTCGTACAGACCGAGGAGGGGGAGCACGTTGCGGTGGCCTTGAAGGGCTTCCATGGCGGAAATTTCGCGTTCGAGCGACTCGAGCTCGTTTTGCGTGAGGTGCGACTTGCGGACCTGCTTGCAGGCTAGAGGAGCGCCCGTTGCGCAATCGACGCAGCGCCAAACGCGGCCGAATTGACCCTCTCCGACGACCCCGGTGAAGGAAAAGGCTTCGAAGAGCTCGGCCGAGGTGCGCGCTGATGGAAATAGACAAACCGCCATTGCATGCGCTTTTTAAATTTAAATAAACAAATAATGACAGAGGTGCTACTTTAGAGGCGCCTAAAAAATAATGATAATAATAAAGGCTGAGGTACTTCGAGCTGATGCGAAGTGATGATCTGATCAGTTTTATCCCGGCTGATGGTGCTGGACATGTACAGGGAGCTCGAAGGGGGGGAGAGCCACATATGGCTGGGACATCTTTGGAATGTTATCCTGATATGTTTATGTACTGAAGGGAGTGATGGGGAAGCTGGGCTGGGGGACGAACAGCAACGCGGAATGGAAAGATGGGCGATGCGATGTTATGAGATGAGACGCGTCAGAGCGGAAGAGCTCGCATGTGTGGGAAGGGGAGGGGCGGGATGGCGGAGAGAGTCGCCTCATCCTCAGCGCAGAGAGTTGAGAGTGGGGTGGTCGGGGGGATGGTCGACTGGACTGCCTGGTCATGAATTGAAGGGGCGGGGGGAGGGGAAGGGGAAGTGCTGAAATGTGCATCTAAATCGGGGCGCATTTTCCGTTATGTCGAACCGCGGATCAAGACCAAACGACTATGGTTGGGGGAAATCAGGAATGCAACCCTGGTGTAAACAGCAGATTCGGTTGTGTGACGCTCAACAAGGGGACTGAGGGTGTAGCTCCACGAAAAGTCACATCCCCCCAATGATTTGTTCAACCTTCAGGGCAGATGTTGGGTTGGGCAGTTTGACAGTTACGACTGATGTACAACCCTTAAAAAAAAAAACTGAGCAGTTTGAGCAGGTACCCAAAGGGGTATCTGACTGCATATAAACATTTTCAATCCACATGGTGTCACTTTAGCAAGTCAAATAAAGCGGAAATCAATGCTGACTTCGCCTGTGGACATTTGTCTCCTCTTCCATTGGCTAAAATGTCGAGCAAATGCCAGGTGGGTTCGGCTGGATCTTTTGAGCACGACAAGAATGGAAAGCCCAAAGAATGACCACTGAGGAGCTGTCGTCGAATCCAAAGCAGCAGCAGCAGTCAAGGAACAGCCATAGAAAACGACGGTAGGAGACCACTACAGCTGATGCTCACACCATGCACGCGAATTTGCCTTGCGCCGGATGGATACGCTGCACCCGAGGTTGTTTCCCCAGCTTCATGCACCTACATTACAAGCGCGTCGCGTGGTTATCAACCAATAGTAACGAACATACCGAAGTCAAGCAGAAGAGACTGAAGTCAAACGAGGTAACAGATCTTGTTTATAAGCACATGCGAATCCTTTTTAGCTAGCTGCGAATTGACGAAACTTATGCGAAATGCTCGTGACAGCTTATACGCCCCCTTCATAAGGCAACCGGGAGGGGCTCAAACAGGCATCAGCTGTACAACCACCACCAATGACAACCCACTCAACTGTATGCACGACCGACACAAGTCATGAAACGACAATATATTCGTTACAAGCGCAATATAGTGGATGAAAAAGTCGTGGAGTACAGTAAAGACAAATAACTAGTAATCTGCTATCACAACTCAAAACTAAATCGCCACCTGTCTATCAAAGTTGATGTAAAGAGGCACAAAGTGCAACATATATACCGTATGGAGCAAATACAGTGGTTGAAGTTCAATCTCCAACCTCAATACCTATTCAGTTCACTGTTTGACAAAATATAGGAGCTTGTTTTATACCGTAAACAAGCATGTCTCATTCTATGTCATCTTTTGTTATGAATGTTGTCCTTTTCTATCAGTCCTTGAGAACAGGCCCAATTGATCAACCAAGACGCTGGCATAACCAACTGCAAAAAAGAACTCACAATATAGAGCTAAAAGTTTGCTGCTTCGTTACAAGGTACTTACTTATGGGTGGTGCGAGATGTTGCCATTTCAGCATCGTGGCTCTGGCGCTTCTCCAGCCCATGCTTCACATAAATGTTGCCACGTTGCACTCAGATCTTGTTCGTGGTTTTGACACCAGCTGCTTATGCGAGTCAACACGAGTCGGCCCACGTTTCCGTGTCAATCACTGTAGATTCAGGGTCAATCGAGTCGCGCCCACGGTTATGTGCGACCAAAGCTGATTGGTCCTGCATGGCACTCCCTCCAATGTCTCGAGTCGCATGTGTGTGTTTGGCGGGCGATTTCTGGAAATTGGTTTTGCAGATTAGTTTGATTGGGTGGGAGCGGGGCGCCAGGTTTAGCAAGTGCGGAAGTTTTGGTTGGTTGGGATGCGATGCGACTCTAGGCGAGAGGGATGTCCGATGGTTCTTACAGGCTGACTCAGGGCGAAATTCTGACACCAACATACATTGTATGCTGGTGTCAAAATGGGATTTTGACACCAGTGTCAAATCTACGAACAAGCCCTCAGATACGGCTTTCCGTGCCGCCTGCAGCTCGTTGAGACACTGCGCTTCATTTTCCATCCTTCGTCTTCCTCATCTTGTATTCCACTAACCGCGAGCCTGAATATCCTGTTGTCCTGCTTCTTGAATTGATTATCGTCCCCGTTTAGATATCACGTGAGTGAACCTTGATTTGAATCAGACGTGCATTTTCGTTCATCTTCGCATGACACACCTCAAGCATTTCTGCAGTAGAGTAGCTACTGGGTTGCGACACACCAGAAAATCTTCGGATTTAGGATTCGAACCCGCGACCTTTTGCCGTTTCCTGTTAGAGGGCCCTACGACAGCAAGGGCCCTCGCGAAATGTTAGACTTGGCAGGTTGACGACCGACGACCTGGTCTACTCGGCACCGTCGCACAGGTTCGATGGCAGTCAAGTGTGACTACGGGTGAATGCGAGCTGCAGTAAGGACTCTGCTGAAGTCGGTGCTGGGAAGTAGAGTCGTGGGAGTCTTTGTGTGCTTCCTTATGAGGCACGCCACTCCCAAGCTGAGTCGGATGGAGTTGCGTGCTCGGAAGGTTTTCGCTGCTGAGTTGGATGGAAGTTTGGCGGGGCGCGTTCGCCAACTCCCACAAGCACTTCCGTGTGGGTTGGGTTACTCACAGCGCCCTCGCTACCTTGTGAGAATGCTTGCTTGCCTTTATATGTTTGTGTATGCTTTTGTATTCAGAAAAAATATTACAATCTCTACTCAAGTTCTCACTTAGCCATTTGAGACAAGCTCTACCGAAACGCTACCGAATTCCTAGCGCAACATCATTCCCATAAGCAGAATCTCTCTCGCCGTCGTAGTGCTCTCCATAATATTCCTTCATGGTGCGGTGAGCGTGGAACGAACACGCATAGAATTCCGTCGTCGACTTTCTTAGCGTTCGTAAACTCGCCTTGGCGTGCGGCGTTAGTGAAGGGCGCATATTAAATTAAGTTGAACCTCTCTTAATTTCCCTCCAGTTACGTTCTCGGACCCAAGGATAGGGCGTTTGGTAATTTATTACCACTCGTCTGAGGACCCTTGTGAGGTGACCCCGAGACGAGGGATTTAAGGAAGGAACAATTTATTTTAATTTGTGGCACCTTATCGAGGCGTCGTAGAGGATGAGTTCGGAGGAGGCGGACGTTGAGGCCGTTAATTTTCGCGCACTAGAGGAGGAGCTCGTGGCACGTCGTTCCCGTGGCGAGCTTAGTAATGTAGATTACGAGCTCATGTTGGAGGGATTACGCTCTCGTCAGCGTCGCGATCATCCCTCGCCACATGTAGAGCAAGCTGCGGGAGGCACTAGTGCGTGGGACATGGCTGTCAATGACGGAGGTGACGATGACGAGGAGGTTGATGGGTTGATGTCGCGTGGGGTCCTGCGAGGACCAACTCGGTTTAGTACGACTAGCGTCGGCGGTGTACAGGAGCGTGTTCATCGTGCGGCGGCGTCACACGAGCGTACGAACTTAGGACGACAGAGCGCTGCTGGAGGAGGGAATGCGGAGGAGTACGATAGTGGAGCTATGCCGGGCATTACCCCGATTGGATCGATGTCGAGGGATGAGGGAATAGCCCCCAACTATGGCTACTTCAAATTCACTCCAGACAGAATCGTCGTGCCTAAGCCGCTCGAAGGACGCCACGACCTATCGACGTGGGTAGAATCGATCGAGCCGCAGCTTGAGATCGCTCAACTAAAGCGATTCATTGACGGTACCACTCCTATTCCACCAACGCAGGCAGTTGCGCATCTCACTCAGTTCCGCGCAATGCAGTTACTGACGTTCACCACGATTTCCCGATGCTGCTCCCCAACCGTACAGATTGCCCTTAAGGGGTGTCGCATGAAGGTAGATGCCGGCTATCAGGCATGGCAGTTTATTATGCGCACGTACATGGCGAAGGACGATCTGTACATCGGTCAGTTAGAGCAGGCGCTCACTAACCTCGAGATGGGTGAGCACGAGTCCGCTACGTCCTATTGCAACCGTGCGCAGCAGATCCTAGTGAACCTGAGGATGGCCGGCGTCGATTACTCGCAGGCGTCGTACATTACTCACGTCGTGAAGGGGTTGCCGCAGCAGTACAACCTCTTACGCAGGATGCTGAAGCTGCCGCAGGTACGCAAGGAGTTGGACGAGGACACCCTCGCTAGCTACATTATCGAGGAGGAGTGTACGCTGGCAGCGGAGGGACGGAAGGACCAATTTCTTCCCCAGGCCAACCAGGTCTTTACCAAGAAGGGTAAAGCCCAATCCCAGCAGACTTCATCCCCTTCCCCTCCCACTACGGCACAGCAGCAGCAGCCTAAGACTGGGGGTGGGGTTGGAGGTGGAGGAGAGAAGTGGAAAGGGGCTAAGGATGGTCCGCCAAAGGGGGGGAAAGGTGGCTTCAAGGGGAAGTGCTACGTGTGTGGACAGACAGGGCATGTTGCTAAGTACTGTCAGCAGCGGGCGGATAAGGAGGCAGACACGGGTGGAGAGGGTTCTGGAGGCAGCGGCGCGAGTGGCAAGGGGGACGATGGCTCTAAGGGGAGCGGGCAGTCATCATGTGCGATGGTGAAGCCCGTTGTAGAGCAGACTCCTCTTGTCGTGCTGGAGCCTGAGGCCGGGGAGGGCTTACAGGCTCTTGCAGCTGCTGT